CTACTACTACTACTACTACTACGCAAGTATTGTGTCCAATGGATCCTCCGGAAGGACGCTAGGAACCAGCCATAAAGAGTCGAGCTTCTCGATCTCGGTCTCGATCTCGGTCCCGGTCCCGGTCTCGATCCCGGTCTCGGTCACGAGACCTCCTTGGCGTTGCGAACTGTGCGAAGGCATCATGGTACAGCCCAGGCCCATGATGATAACCCTCAGAATTATGAACCGTTGTGGTCGCAGTAACAATAAGGACCACTAATAGTATTCATCGTTGATCTGCAGCCGCCACTAGAAACTTCTTGTTCGCTTCACCCGCTCCTCTTCCCGACCTTCCCACAGAAACTCGCAAGCCATAACATGAAGCCCACACCGTGGACCTGGGGCCTACACAGTGAAATTGGCGCTCCAACATGCCTAAAGCAAACACAAACCTAAAGCCCAAACTAAACGCTAGGGCATGAACCCTCAGTAATAAACTTTCCCGAACTCTGATCTGAGCCATCAAGCCTGAACCAATAATTCTACAAAGTTCTTCGACCGGAAATCCTAAACATAGAAACCCCTCCTACGTCACAGACCCTGCTACAACATCATACTGGAGCCTTGACAGTTCGATTTATGGGTGGGGATTATACTACCCCCTTCAGCCCTGACAAAATACAAGCCCCCAAAACTAAACGTAAACCCTAAACCTCAAATAAATCAATGTCTGAGATCTGCAAAATGCCAAGACACTCTCGAGGCTCTTTGTCGCGATCTCTGTCTTTGTCCTTTTCCCTCTCCTCATCCTCGAAGGCTAGCTGCCAGTAACGAGACGTGCTACATGGATCTAGGCTAATTATGCGGATGACCCTAAACCCTAAACCCGTCCAACGCATGACGCAGCTCCTTTCTCTTCTTCTCCTTTGCTGCCTCAGATCGCACAAACACTCGCCCGACTCCCCAAACTCCTTGCTGGCGCGAGCACCATACTAATAAAAGCAGTAATGGTACGACGACGACGACGATGACGACGACGACGACGAACACTACTACCAATAATCATAATCATAGGGAACAAATCAGAAGAAGAAAAATAACCATGGACCATAGTAAGAGCACTAGTAATACTAGTAATAGTTTAATACCGATACTAGTAACAGTAATAGTAGTAGCCTTTCGCAACAATAATCGTAATAGCTATTTTCATAGTAGTAATAATAATACCTGCAACAATAACAGATATACGTAAACGACAACAACAATAATGAACGGAAATAAAAGGCTTTCTGAAAGGCATCCTCTAAAGGGTTTCAAGGGTTGCTATCGGGTTTGTCGACAAAGAAATTCTGTTGCTAGCCTCTGGAAAACTACGCCCTACTGAACTCGACTGGAACTATCCAAAGGACAAGCCAGTGCATGCACTCCCTAAACCCTAAACCCTAAACCCTAAACCCTAAACCCTAAACCCCAAACCCTAAACCGTGAGTTGAAGTGACTAACCAGGGCAGTGACAATTTCCATCAAGACGCACCCGGAGTCCCAAACTAGCGCGATGTGGGGTTTCGAGTTTCGGTGTTTTTGCAAAAAACGATAGGGCTGTTCGGGCACGAATCTACTTCGAGCTTCAAACCCACAGCCTTCTTTCCCTTAATCCATAAATCCTAACCCCAAAACCCTCAACCCATAGATCCCAGCGCCAAGGCCCGGGCACCCCCACCCTCCTTGTAGGCCTGCATGCTCCAGCTTTGTGTTTAGGATATAGGGTTTAGGGGTTTGGGGTGTACGGGGTTGGGGTTTAGGGGTCTGGGGTTTAGCGTTTTGGGGTGTCCGGATTTCAGAGTCTACGACAAGGGAGGATTCGAGGCCTCCAAAGCAGGACAGCTTAGGCAGCGGGACCTGCAGTACAAAGGATCACGAAGGTGTAGGCATACCTACCTCTGTCTCCCTGATTGGCTTCGCCGAGTTTGGGATGTGCTGTTGTGGCTCTGGGTCTCAGGTGTGTCGTTCGGTTACTTTGACATAGCATGCCAATACAGGAAGCCACAGATGAGGCTCAAAGAGCTCGCCCTGCAGAGTTTATTATTGTTCTTTTTTATTCAACTTATTTGTACAGTATCTTTATTGTGCCTGTATTATCAAGATTACTCGCGTTATTCTGATTATTATGTTTATTATTGCTATGAATATTTCTATAGTCTGGCTTATTGAACCATGGGCTGAGCTCCAGACCAAGCCCTGAAGCGCCTGATCCCGACGCAAGCCCTGTACACCGAAAGCTACCTGTGCTCCAAACTCTAAAACACCTCAACCCTAAACCGGAAGCCCTAAACCCTAAACCCTAAACCCTGAACCCTAAACCCCAAAACTCAAACCCCCAAAACAAAAAAACCCTGAACCCCTAAACCCTAAACCCCTAAACCTGACGTTGGTCTACTCCAACAGTTCCTACACCCCATGGGTCTATAGGGTGTAGGGTTTAGGGCTTTTAGGGTTGAGGTTTATAGGATCTATAGGGTTTAGGGTTTATAGGGCTTTTGGGGTTTAGGGTTTAGGGTTTATAGGGTTTAGGGTTTAGAGCTCAAAGGGTTTAGGATTTAGGGTTCATAGGGTCTAGAGGGTTGAGGCTTTAGGGCATA